GAGAGAGAGAGATGCATATATATATATATATATATATATATATATATATATATATATATATGCATCTCTCTCTCTCTCTCTCTCTTATATATATATATATATATATATATATATATATATATATATATATATACACAAATACAAATTATATACGTGTACACATAGAACATACAGAACATAACAGAACACAGACAACAGAACGGTCAAAGCGGGGAAGAACGACTGCCAGAAGACCCTCGTCATTGTCCCAAAGATATTACTAACCCGTCAGGCGAACCAGCGGCATTGTTTGGGTGAAAAGAACCGATATGTCGTTCTAGGTGAACAAGAGACGCTTATATTTGTTTGGGTGAAGACCAAACGAGAGCGGACGAGGCGGTCCACGCCCACCAGACCGGAGAGCGCAAGTCCGAGCAACACGGCCCCGTTCTCCATCCCACCAATAGCTCCCGGGCCGGCTCACGTTTGCGCCCCCTGCGCTCCAGTACGCGCCCCACCTGAGCACAGCGGCGAAGAGACGCGACTCGCGGATGCGCAGCGTGTTGCGCTCCAGGACAGCGCACAGCGTAGCCTTGTCCACGTCCACGAAGCCGTCGGCGGCCAGCGCCACCGACGTGCTGTTGTCGATGGTGTCCAGGCAGAGGGCGGCCAGCTCCGGCTCGTCGAACAGGCGCGCCTGCCGGCACCGGCCACGGCGTCAGCAGCTGGAGTCACCGGCTCCGGCCACGACGTCAGCAGCTGGAGCCAACGGCTCCGGCCACGGCGTCAGCAGCTGGAGTCACCGGCTCCGGCCGGCTCCGGCCATGGCGTTAGCAGCTGGAGTCACCGGCTCCGGCCACGGCGCCAGCAGCTGGAGCCACCGGGTCCGGCCAGGTGTCCAAAGCGGGACCCGGCCAGCAATGCCCTCGCTTCCGCGCACTACGTGCTCCGTCCCAATGACACGTATGAGATGTCCATACGTGTGAGTTCTGCGCGCATTTAATAAGACTGTAACACCATATTGCGCGTCTTTTGGCTTTTCACGGCTGGAGAACTCCGTGAGGGAATGCATCTCGATCTATCCAGTCATCGAAATGTTACAACATTCTAGTCGTCTCTAAGGGGCAGTGTCAGCGCGCGTGCCGCCTGTTGTTACATATCGATGAGGACTTTTATTGCACCTGGAGCTACACAAATCGGTGCGGCCTGAGGTGCCACGGACGGCGGCTAGGGTAGCACCCGGGCCGCTAGACACCGCTACACACAGACGAGCCGCCAGACACCGCTACACACAGCTGAGCCGCCAGACACCGCTACATACAGACGAGCCGCCAGACACCGCTACACTACAGACGGGCCGCCGGACCCCGCTACACAAAGACGAGCCTCCAGACACCGCTACACACAGATGGACCACTGGACTGCGCTACACACGGTCAGGCCACCAGACTGCGCTACATACAGACGAGCCTCCAGACACCGCTACACACAGACGAGCTTCCAGACACCGCTACACACAGTCGGGCCTCCCGACCCCGCTACACACAGACGAGCCTCCACACACCGCTACACAAAGACGAGCCGCCGGGCCCCGCTGTACAAAGACGAGCCGCCGGACCCCGCTACACGCAACGACGAGCCGCCAACACCGCTACACAAGACGAGCCCCGGGCCCCGCTGTACAAAGACGAGCCGCCGGACCCCGCTACACACAGACGAGCCGCCGACCCCTACACAAAGACGAGCCGCCGGGCCCCGCTACACAGACGAGCCGCCGGACCCCGCTGTACAACGACGAGCCGCGACCCAGCTACACACAGACGAGCCGCCGGGCCCGCGGTACAAAGACGAGCCGCGGACCCGTTACACACAGACGAGCTCCAGACACCGCTACACAAAGACGAGCCGCCGGGCCCCGCTGTACAAAGACGAGCCGCCGGACCCCGCTACACACAGACGAGCCTCCAGACACCGCTACACAAAGACGAGCCGCCGGGCCCCGCTGTACAAAGACGAGCCGCCGGACCCCGCTACACACAGACGAGCCGCCGGGCCCCGCTGTACAAAGACGAGCCGCCGGACCCCGCTACACCGCTAACTAGTCGCGTCTTTGCTCCAAAAGTTTGTTCAAAACACAACCATTCGAATTGATTCGCAACCATGACCACTGCTCCGCGCATTCATCGCCCATCCCTTTACAATGTTTTTTAATTACCAAATGCAAAATGGTAGCTAACTAAGGGAATTTCGCCATTACATGACGTATCTTGAGTTAAAACATAAAGATGTGTCGAACACTGTCCTTTTTCGGTAGGTTCTACTCTACGACCAGCTTCATGTCCTTCGTGCATGAAGACTGCTTTTCTGACAAATCCTGACTCTCTTCACCTGTGCCCAGCCTCGCTCAGTAGCTCAGAACGTGATGATGGCGGGTGGACGTCCAAGCGGCGTTATTGCTTAACTGGAGCCAAGAACCGTCTAGCGCTTCCGCAGTCCAAACAAACATGCGGATGAGGTACCTGTTTTTGTCCGCACAGATGTCGCACCGGCTTGAGCCTTCAGTGCACTGGTGGCTTATGATTTTCAGGTATCTGAAATACAGCCTGACGTTTTCCGCGAAGTTCATGGGACATAATTTCCTTAAATTTTCATCATCTTTTATCGTGCATTTTCCTTTCAAAGTTTCGTTTGGAGCTTAGTAAACAAAAACCAACGGTTCTGACAGCCATGTCACCAAATAGCGGCGCCACACATTGCCGACTGGGGCGGCGTGTACCACCACGCAGGGTGGCACACCACGCACGGGGGTCACCAAATAGCAACCTCGCACATTCCTGACTGGGGCGGCGTGTACCACCACACAGAGAATAGCACGTGCGGTCACCAAACAGCAACCTCGCACATTTCCGACTGGGGCGGCGTGTACCACCACGCAGGGAACAGCATGACCCGAAACCAGGAATGCATTCAATACAAAGTTAAATTCGCCCGTTGCAATAACGCCGAGGTGGCCAGGTGGTCTACAGCCCACGGCCAGTTACGGCATTTAATCGTAGAGTACAAAATAAAGAGGAAATTCTGCAGAGTTCAGGTTTCGCAAGCGGCAGGGACAGGTAGGCATGCATAAATGTATATGGCACACATATACACAATTCTGTCTTAACATATTCAAACAAGTAACGCTAATCCAAAGCAATGCTACCATTACTAACACTGGACACGCACACTTCTGAGCAGTATCACACCACGTGCAGTAGATAAGTTGCAGTCATAGAGGAAATACCAGCCACCTCAATTCTGATGAGTCAACACACAGAACCGCAGCGATCCACGCTTGCGGTGTACGAAGTTGCACGGTCGCTGTCAGGTTAAAATTATCTAAATGCATATGCATAACTTCCCGCTACTAACAGTTCAAGATACCTTGGCCCCACGGCTGAATTGACTCTCATCACATTCCACGAACAGCTAACCCTGCAGCTGTAGTTGCAACGACCCGACGTCATGGACAGGGCGCTTTACGTGCGTTTACAAATCCATGTTTGGCGCCGGGTCATATTTCACACGCGCCTCGGGACATTCCAACACGTTGTTCATGTTATACCAAGGGCCATTCCGACCCGTGGCGGGTTGGGATGCCGTCGAGGCTTAAGGAGCGAGAGGCGTTGACTTTCACACTTTTGATTGGAGCTCGGCATAAGACGACCGACGGAAGACGAGCGTGCCACACCGCTGGCGGGTGACAGCGAACGACGGCGAACTCTCCTGGTCCGTTCGGTGCCTTTTTCCGTCACTGTCCTCCGATTCATCCGCACAGCTGTAGCCTTGACACGGTCTCTATCGTAGGAGAGTAGGCTGGGCCTTGCAGTGCTGTAGTATCTTGATTCCCGGTGTGGCGACCAAAGACAAGGCCCACAAGTGACGGCATTTCGGTGGTCCGGGGTTTCGCTAGGGAAGCTGTATTAACATAGGACAATTTGCTGTTTATTATGGCAAATAAGTAAAGCTTTCAAAGCGCATGAATTAATTCCTTTACTGGCGCGACAAGCCAAAGTGGCACAATATTAAGTACACATCGCCCAAAATATGCCAACGAAGAACAATTTTACACCATGCAATAAACCCTGACTACTGGTAGTCCGGCGACTGGCCGTTAAAAACCCCGCGGCGCGGGCTTTAACGACAAACAGCGATCACAGTGCCGTGCCTCGTACTTCAATAATTTATATTCGTAATTTATTAAAACAACACGCAAAGCTACCATTCATTACCCGTTGAGCGCATACCGCAGCTCACTAATGTCCGGAAATTACGTCCGGGAAAATGTCTGATGACGAAAACAAGTACGCCTGCCCCGGCGCTGATAACTGCGTGCCCCCGGAGCAGTGGCACACAGCCCCCGCTTGTTCTGTATCTGACGTCACCACATGGGCAACATTCGTGCTGGATTTCCGGAAGGATCGCGCAATCAAAAGACAGAAATCAGCTTACAACGGCATAAGTTAGGGCGAGCTGGGCTAATTACGGTAAGCCGAAACGAATAACGAGCAAATCGACGTTCGCAAGGGTATGACCCCATCATGATAAATTTCTAGTGCAACAGGTGTATTGCAACGCGTGCTATGAATAATTTGCTAAGCCATTAAGGATGTCATTACTAGCTTTTACGTGGCATTAAGCACTTCTGTAGCGGATGTCAGCAGTTTTGCCTGCGTATGCTAACAGCAATGGATCCTTCGTCGGTACCTGCCATTGCCTCCAATTGATTCTCTTTTAGAGGCGTGACACCTTGAAATGCAGACTTCCGCTACAACACAAACGTTTTCAGACATTTGCTCTGAGCTGTTTAGTTTTTGTTCTACACTCATGCAATAGTTCCACCGTGCAATACACTTTACACAGCTTTTGGTATCGGTAACTGGTGTTGTTACGATACGCGGCACTCTGGTTTCAAACGCTTCTGCCTTGGAGCTTGATTGACACGCCGTCGGTGTGACTGCAGTCGCGGCTTCTTAATGAATGTTTGATGCACTGAAGGCCTGTCGGGTGGAAAGGCTCGCATTCGGCGCCTCTTCCAATGCCTGGCTCCGTATATCACCTGTATCCTTCACGGCTGACATTCTTCATTGGAGCCTTGCGACATGACAAATATAGCTGATGGTGAACTATCCAATCGATTTAGCCACGTGCAGAAACGAATTTCCGCCCATAGTTAGCCCCTATGGTAACCTCATGTCCTCAACTACACGGCATGTAAGGGCATGGGTGTATCAAGCCTGCATGTTATGGTCCACTTGTAGGGAAGGCAGGCTACCGCGCCACACACCGTTCCTTCCGGCCAGTACAGAGCCGCACGGCGCCACCTGACGTGCCGTTCCGCTAGCTTACCTGCGTCAGCAGCATGAAGGCGTTGTCCGGACTAAGGTTGCGCTGCAGGAAGTCCACGCAGGTGCGCTCCACCGCCGGCACCGCGTACTTCTTGGCCGTGTAGAGGACAGTCATGACGGTCTCCGGGCCGATCACCACCTCGTCCGTGTACAGGAAGCGCAGCAGCGAGAGAAAGGCTTGTGGCTCCACGTCGGGCACCTGGATCAACTCCTCCTGAGGGGGGGGGGGGGGGGGAGGGACTGACGGTCAGTTGACACCAGCTGATGGGATGTGAGTTGACACCAGCCTCGCCACGCGTGTCGCAGAGGACAGAATCGGACACCTGTCCACCGGACCACACGTCATGCTTCATACGACACACACATCTCTCCAAGCAAGTGGCAGGTGACAAGGCAAACTCTCCTGTTTACCGAAGGTGATTCGCCGGACAACACAAATCTCACCACGCAGGGGTCCAGAGTCAGAACAAACTCACTGCAACGTCCACATGTGACGTCACAGGCAATATGTAAATCACCACGTGAAGGTCACTTGCTTGGACAGGATAGCCCCCCCCCCCCCCGCGGCGTAGAGCTGACGCATTTTACCACGCGCGTATGCCATGAAATTCCTTCGCTGGCAATAGCAGGTGCCGCTGCCGCCGTCCACACGACGCGCCTTACGTCAAGCGAAATTCGAGGCCGTGCACCGCTCATGCCGCTCCACATCCATCCGATTAAATGAAAAATAAACGACCGTTGCCGCATGCGACCGCCAGCACCGGCGCGCTATTCGCAGACGCGTGACCCGCACGCACAGGAGCTCCGCTCGATACTGACTCCATTCCTCACGGCCGGCAATGCGCGGCGGCGGCCGGCAGCCGCCCACTCACGTCCGAGGAGAGCGAGCTGTTGAACATGGCGTCGAACACGGCGCTGCCGATGCTGAGCACGAACTTGTGGGCGGGCACCACCTGGCGGTCCGTGTCGCGGCCCACCACAAACCGCACGTCGCTCATGGCCGCGTTGTTGAAGAGGTACGCGATCCTCTCCACCACCGTCGACTTGCTGGCCTGGCGACGGCGACGGTGGCAACGTCACGAGGACGGTCACAGGAATAACCACGTCAGCTGCGTTTACGTACATCCTCTGGCCCATGCCTCTAACCGCAATGAGTAGCAGAGCATGATGCGGACAAACAGCGAAGAATGCAATTTTGGTGCAGTGGTTGCTATACAAAACATCATGGCGTTAACGCACATCCCTCCGGTTTTCTGGAGGACACTCCAAAAATTTTGAGTACATCATGGGGAAGTCTGACTTCCTACCATCTCAGGTCCCTGCCCTATGACCTCGTCCACAAAGCCCTGCACGGCGGAACTGTGGGGAACACAGTTTGATTTCGTTTGACCAAACGGACGGGTCAAGCATACAGTATGCTGACAATGCCTGCAGTAAAGGTTGGGATCACGTGCGATTCTACAGCTTCATTACAGCTTCATTACAGCTTCATTTCCGAATTTCGCTCTAGCGCGTAGGGCATGAAATGACAAGGAGGATCGCATTGCCCCTATCCCCGAACAGCAAAAGTTGGCGAACATCGAGTGGCGGTGCAAGTTACCCTTACTTATACGAAACTATTCAAACGCGTGCGAAACTCCAGCCGATGGCCGGCCGGGCCTACCTGCCAGTTGTGGGGCACGACGTCACGTGCGCTGGCGCCGGCCGCCGGCGAGCCGGCAGTGTTGGCGGCCTCCTCGCCCACGCGCAGCCGAGAGCAGGCCTCGCTTAGCTGGGCACCGCTGTTGCGCGGAGGAGAGGCGCCGCCGCTGGCCATGGCTGGCGCGCCACTGCGGCGGCACGCGTCAGTTGTCACAGCGTCCTCCACATGGATACATAACACACAGATGGAATGATTGTCACAGCGTGCTCCACATCGGTACAGAACACACACAGCCGACATAACTGGACCAGCGTCCTCCACATCGGCACATCAGCACACAGCCAGAACGGTTGGACCAGTGTCCTCCACATGGGCATATCAGCACACAGCCGGAACAGTTGGAGCAGCGTCCTCCATATCCGCACATCAGCAAACAGCCGGAACAGTTGGACCAGTGTCCTCCACATCGGCACATCGGCACACAGCCCGAACAATTGAACTAACGTCTTCCACATGGGTATATCAGCACACAGCCGGAACAGTTGGACCAGTGTCCTCCACATCGGCACATCAGCACACAGCCGGAACAATTGAACCAGCGTCCTCCACATGGGCATATCAGCACACAGCCGGAACAGTTGGAGCAGCGTCCTCCATATCGGCACATCAGCACACAGCCGGAACAGTTGGACCAGTGTCCTCCACATCGGCACATCGGCACACAGCCCGAACAATTGAACCAGCGTCCTCCACATGGGCATATCAGCACACAGCCGGAACAGTTGGAGCAGCGTCCTCCACACCGGCACCTCAGCACTCAGCCGGGCACACCGCGCAGTGATTTCGCGCACAATGGGCTCGCTGATGGCTACGTATTATTGGAGGGGAGATAAAAGTGGATGGTGTGTAAAGGTGGAGTCAGCTGCGATCTTCAGGTGCACAAGCGTTAGTTATCCACGTGAGTTGAAGGGTCTTATTGCTGAGCATCTGCTCTGCTTCATGGCCAAACACGTCAGCTGAAAGGTCATACTGCCGAGCATTGGCTCTGCTTCATGGCCGAACACGTCAGGCTCCTACTGCTGTAAATTTCCTTCGTACGCCTTACAGTGACTGTGGTTCTTCCGTCGTCATGAGATTTTACGACGCACTCAAGTGCTGAGGGTACGTGATAACCGCGGTTCTTCCAAACACAAATGTTCGTGCGGTGCAGTAATTATGCCCTCACTCCGTGTAAGTGCGGAGTCGAATGCATTACCTTTATCCCCTTATATATCAAACTCATTCTAGTTTATCGCACTATCACGGGTCAAGCTAAAGGCAAAACCAAGCGTTAATTCCCCTTATCCTCCTCAATCTGGACATACAAAACTTATTCTAGTTTATCACACCATCATGGGTCAAGCTAAAGGTAAAACCGAGCGGTAAAACAGGGTAAGCAAAACACCACTGACGCTGTGTCCCAGAGTGTTACACATAGTATGTCGCGCTAAACACTTGGCAGGAAACAGTCTTCACCTGAAATATGTGACTTAAATGCAGCCTCCGCCAGCTTTTATCGGCATTCACCTCGGAGACAGGGATCACTACAGGCCGGGCTGCAGCGTTTGTAATGAGATTTCTCCCGCAAGGAGCGGCTACTTCGAATCGAAATTCTGAGCTACTCAGAATAATTTTGACAAAACAAGCATTACTGACCAAATCGTGCACGTCCGTTCTAAAAATAAGTGACGAGTACCCAAGGTTGGAATTACAACGTTGTGAACACAAAGGACTAGAAAGTTATGCCGTTTAAACAGGACACACCTGAACTGCAGGGAATTATCTTGTGAATAGTTACCTCAGTTCAAAACCCATACCAATGTGGAACAGTCTAACAAACAATTCCATCAACTGTTGTTTTTGCTTGTGCTCATACTTAATATTTATCAATAATCGACAATTTATTTGTCTCCTAATCGCTGGGATGCCTGAATCCTACTGACGCAGAGCCACTTGGCGCATCAAAAAAGGTCTTCAGCTCCTTTTTGGGATTACAAACCAGTGCCTCTTATTATCTCGAATGCTGATAACTCAGCAAAAGATCGCTGAACTCATGATGCAGATTCTCATTATTTCCATTTCAAGTTCTCCCCACGATTTCCGCGACACTAACGTTCCCCAGCTATAGGCACTTCAATCATAGGAATGCCAACTTTCTGAATAGGGCGTTCCGCCCGACTACTGGGGCGCGCTTCTCGTGCGAACGGGGCATTAAGTTTAAAGAGGTCCCGTTTTTCTGTCGCGAACCCAGTCGATATCACGCGGGACACCTTTTTCATTATGGGTTCAAAGTTCTCACGTTCAGCTACCGACCTTCCATATGGCAGGGGAACAGGCTAACATAGCATACATCAGCAGTAATGACAGTATTCGGCGAAGTAAGCTGCGCTTATGATGGCGAGTTAAAAGTCAAAAGTCACGAGCTCACGAGCACTTACGATTCGTTGCCAGAAGCGCAGTTTGAGACGCCGAATACAGCCAACGTAAATATAAATAAATGTTTTAAAACTTCGTTCAACCAATACCTTTTGTCATCCTGAAGGTTGATAACGCAGCAAAACAATTCTGACCTCATGATCTCTCATTATTTCCGCTTCAACTTCTGCCCATGATTCCTGCGACACTAACGTTCCCAGCGATAGGCACTTCAATCACAGGAATACCACTTTCCTGGAGAGGACGTCCCGCCCGACTCCTGGGACACGCTTATGGTGCGAACGGGACATAAGTCTGAGGGGATCCCGACTTTCCGTCGCGAGCTTAGTCGATACCGCACGAGAAGTATTTTCCATACAACGGGGCGCCTGGCATTACGGTTAGCGTTTATTAATATCCACGGGCACCGTATTACGTGGTCCGGCCTATTTTCTCCTTATGCGCCATCACAGGAGCTCATATAACGAAGAGAGCTCTTTTGTCAGTTCAGCTCGAGGTCAGGCGCCCGCTTCCCTCCGCGAGGCTGTCTCATTGTCAAAAGGGTGCCGTAGGCGGGGAAGGGGATGTCCCGCGTGCTGACAGTGGCGCATGCGAAGCCCTCTAGACCGGAGCGGCCCACATTGACGACGAGGCCGCCCAGTCGCCGTCGCAGCGTCCTCTCACAAGCACGGTGGCGTCATCTCCCTGCGAGTCTCTCTGCGAGGAGGTGGGAGCATGTCCTGCGCCTTTTCCGTATCAGTCCCCGGTGAGTCTTCAATTATCCCAATGAAAAGGACGGCAAAAGATAAGCCAATAGAGGCAAACACTTATGGCCTCGCTCGTACCACGGGAGCTCACGAATTCATTCGGAAGTCCGCCGTCAGTAGAGTCAGAATACGTGCGCGCACGTATTCTAATGGATTGTGCCGCCTTTGAGGCATATTAAAAAAGCCGTGCTGCAACATCAAGACTAGCTATGTTCAATAATAACAATATGGAATGTCATTCCAGCACCGACAAACCAACACAATACAGTAACCAAATAGGCTTGACTTATCTTTGCGGCAAAATCACGCGGTCTGCGTTCCGTAACAACATTATTATTTTCATCTTCTGCAGCCCCAGACCTTATTTCTGGAATGAGGGTCTTGATGCACACAAGACATTCGAGTGAGACATCCATTCATCGTTAAATGTTAAACAGGAAATCACTAAATTGTGACGGATAAAACGGACAGTGGTAATGACAAACGAGGGGGGAGGGTGCTGCGGGCGGATGATTACACATCTTCGTGAAAAACCATGGGTATGCTCGTTTTGGGGTGTTTCGGGCATTGATGTCAGATATCGGCAGCAAGAGCGAATGAAGACGTGCACAGTGCACGTAAGTGCACGTAACTCCCTAACGGACCTCAAAACTGTCTGACCCATATGTGTGCCAACAATCGACCGGAGAGCGGCTAATATCATCATCCACGAAACATCTCGAATACACGACCCTATGGCCTCAACCAAGAACCACAAGGCCATGCAGGCTACACTAACGTGTCACCCAGTTTGAGACTAATACCCCTCCCCCCCCCCAACAAAACGCGTTACCCTGACCTTTATTCGTTTTCCACAGAAATATACCAAATGGGTTTTTACGCTGACGCTCGCAAGTCCACTTTTATAACGCATGCAAACAATTACTCTCAAGGTCAATGGTCACGGTCAAACAAAACGCGGTACCCTTGCATTGATTCGTTTACCAAAACAATGCAACAAAATGGGTATCACGGTGGTGCTCGCGATGTCAATTTTGGTCGCATCGACAAAGGTGGTATTTCAAGGTCAAAGACCGACGTGACCCAAACGGCGGCATCCTGGTATTAATTCGCTTACTAAATAAACAAAACAGATGGGGAATCATCTTGATGTTTCTGGTGTCTTTTTTCATCACGCGTGCAAAAATTAACGTTCAAAGTTAGACATCAGTCACCAAAATCAACCACAATACCATACCAGTTATTCGTTTAGCAACAAAACAAAACAAAGATCGCGGCACAATAATGTTCATGATGTCAGCTTTCGTCGCACTTCACAAAACGTGGTACCCTGGTATCCATTTGTTTACTAAAGAAACAAATGGGGTATCGTAATGATCTTCGCGATGTCCGCTTTTGGCACACTTAGAAAAACTACACCTGGAGGTCACCGACAAAGATCACATAAAACTGTGCACTTTGGGATTTGTTCGTATCTTAAAAAAATACAACAAAATGGGTATCGTAGTGGTGCTCGTGATGTCCACTTTTGTGTTATGTAGACAAGGTCCAAGTTGCAATCAAAGCTGATATCACGAGCTTCAGTATGGCAAGATGTTTGTTGTATTTCCTTGCCAAACGAATCGCTGGCGGGGCATCGCGTTTGTGAAATTCGCCTTTGCTCGCGAAACATACTTTTCGGTGCAACGAAAGTGGACATCATGAGCATCACTATGGCACCCATTGTGTTCTATTTATTAAACAAACGAATAAATACCAGGATATTGAATTTTGTGTGACCTGGACCGTTGACCTTGGGCTAGCTTTTCCAAGTGTCACAATAGCAGACATCACGAGCGTCAGTCACACACAGTTTTTGTTGTATTTCTTTGACAAACAAATAAATGACAGGGTACCCCATTTTTGTGACCACATTCCATCGTGAAAGGTGCTTCTTCTGTTTGTGACAATGGCGGACATAATAGGCATACAGATGACTCGAACTTTACGTTATTCCTGTGGTAACGAATAAATCCCGGTTCCGTGTTTGCTGCGGCCTTGGCCTCTGACCTTCAAAGAAAGTGCTTACATGTGTGAGAAACGCAGACATTACGAGCATCAACATGAGTCTTTTTTTGTTGTGTTTATTTTGGTAAGGGAGTAAATGTTAAGCTTTGTTGTTTCACCTTAACTATGGAGCTTGATTTTGTATTTTTGTGGCGAAAAAGGACACCACAAGCGCCGGTGCGATGCTATTTTTTGCATTTCTTTGGTTACTAACTGAATGTTAGGGTGGCAAATGCTATATGACCTTGACCTTTGACCTTAGAAGTTGACTTTTCATAAGCAACGAGAGAGGATATCACGAGGATCAACAGACCTCTTTGTTGCAATATTTTCTTTAGCAAAGAAGTGTCAGGGCATCCCATTTAAGTGACCTTGACCTTTGATCTCGCGAGTAGCTTTTGTAGGTGTGACGAAAGTGAACACCACGAGAATATATGAAACCCAATACTTTGGATTTTTTAATTGACGAAGAAATGCCAGGGTACCTAAGTTTTCACTTTTCATTGACCCGTAGAGGTCAGACTTAGTGATTTAAAGAAGACGCCTGTAGATCCGCGAATAACTCAAGGGGTTTGACTTCAGGAGAAAACTGTTGGACATTTGAATTCAACGCCGAATTCGAATGTGAATATCCGACAGACATCTTGATTTCGTTATCTCAGGCAATTCCATTTCATATATGCTTGCTTGGAGCGGCTCACTCCAAGCGACCAAGGTATCCCTGATTACGCGACCACCCTACACTTTGCGCAGGCTGTTGACAGCTACAGGTATGAGCATGAACCTTAACAACCCATTATCAAAGCTTTGACACAGGATGTACACAAGTACAGGACTGTCTGGGATGCCTATTCAGTGCTTCTAAGCGTCACCTTTATCCGGCTGTTGTCAGTGATACCTATCCGGCCTTTTGCGGTTAACTTTCACTGCTACTGTGCCTTCAGGACATTCTTCACTTCCAGCATGTTGTTTTGTCACCTTCGGTGCAATTTCCATCGACTAAAGCCAGACAGCCAGAGCTAATTTCCGTTTTACACTTTGTCCACATACAGCACAAGGCGTTGCTCTGTGCAGGCTTATTGTGACAAATTCATGCTCCTAGAAGTCAGGTATTAGCCTTGCAATCTCGCCATAGTCGTTTTTCACCTGGAATGCATTACGAGCGTCCTCTTCTGCCCTTTATCAATGACATCATCAACTGACATGAGCTGATCCCAGTTTTAGCGGCCGGTAAATACAGAAAGTGACTGATACTAGTTTCAGCCCGCTCCAATGCCCACAGCGGAACCAGGAATGACAGCACCAACGGCCAGCAGAACTGGCCGTAGCCGTCGATGCCTGCCGGTGCCGGCGCAGTGGTGACGTTTGGAGTTTTATTGCGTGCCGATTACTGCGATCATTTTGCACAAACCGGGTTTGTTCGCGCGATGGCCTAAGGGCTAGGATAAAATCGGCTCAAATTTTCGGTAAAAAAGATAATGCAATCACCATTTAAGAAAAAGGCAGAATGGCATGTCCAGCCACGCTATTCATTCATGCTTCGATCTTTCATGACAGCCATGGAAGGTGAAATATTCCTTTAAAAACGCCATGAAAACATTTCCTCCGACGAGACGCATGCCTGTTTATCCGTCACCTGCATTCCGAGGTTGGGTAATGCGCGTCCCAAGACGGTTAGGGAGCCTTTAGTCCAAGCCTAATATCAGTGCGTTTTTTTTCTAAACTGTTATCCACAAGATAACAGCAATATGAAGATCACATTGGCCCCTTCAGCAGCAGTGATAACAGCAATACATATTACAGCTGGGGAAGACAGATAGCCCCGCCGTGGGACCCTCTGTCACCCAACATAGGCTGCGGCTTGTTCACAAGCACGGTCTCCCTTGAAATAGATTGGTTCGGAAACACAACCAAGGGCGCGGTCTCGCTACAGGTCACCGGAGCAGTCATCTGTTCACAGGCCCGTAGAAATCGGGAAAGTCGACCGTATACATGCTTGTTAACGGTGGGGGTCCTGGCAACACGCGATCGGTCGAAGTTGTACAGAACGTGATTATGGTTGTTCACCAAGAGCGTCACATATGTCAACCTTACTCAGTAAAAACTTTGTGCCATTTGCAGGTGATTTTCCTGTCAGGATTGGCAAGAATAGACTGAGACAGTCCCTGTCAGCCAGTTCTGATTTGCTTAAACCACCTGACATATTACCTCACAGGTGGAAACACTATCAGTATCTGGGAAAAACACCACCAAGCCAACACTGTTAAACAAATGGGGGTGAAGTGGAAATCAACAAGAGCAACATCAGATATTTGTTACCAGAAATTACTAAATGATGCATAGAATGCATTATTTTTCACATCAACACATACAAGTTGAAAGCCTGAAAACCATGCCACCTGACAGATAATTCACCACCTGCCACATTATAACGTAGCGAGACCAATCAATGCAGGTTCATAGTTTTTACAGCAGAGACCTGAAAACTATGCTGCCATGGTCAAAGCCTGACAAATGAAAGAACCAAAATAATGAGGTAATGGGACAGCCATGCACTTCACAAAAGCTGTCAGTCCATATCATCTGTGCTAACAATGTCAGGTACTCATGTCATAATGTAATCCTACTAAGTGATAATGTGAGAAAAGCATATGGTCTCATCTAGAACTGTACAACAGAAATGTGTGGCATCAAACTAATTTGCCTTCTTGAATTGCTACACCTAGGTTGACTGTGTTAATGCTGATCACACAGGCAGCAGTGCAGTACCACTATTCATTAAAAGACTGGGTCAAATTAAAATATAATTTTGGAAGTAGCTACCAGTCCCCAATAAAAGGGGAAACATTTTTGTGTGCATCACCTGTCATGGCCATTTGAATGATGTTTTACCTGGCATCCATGTTGAGTAAAAGAGCAGGGGCAAAATCATCTGTTGATTGAGTGGCACAACAGGAGTGATGGTTCAGGGTACAACAATGTGTTTAGCAGGTACACAACCCACATTCACCCGAGCAAACAATTCAGAATGCACTTGAAAAACAGATTGTGGACACTGGTATATCTATCCCTGGTTTCCATGCAGCAACACCTGTTTGATGTAGTCAAATTGCATTATGTCATATCCTGAAATTGCTGACAATGTGATAGTTCACCACAAAACTGTTACTATCATGCCAAAGAGGCCCTATGAACCTAATGCAACCCCACTTAATGCTGCACTTCACATCAGAGCTATTTTCATAGCAATATGGTGATATCCACATACCAAAATTACTCTCTCGACAGCACAACTATTTTTCCATCACTCCAGCCTTCACTTCAAACAAGACAAACATCACGAGACAAACATGACGTGCGATGGTGTCAAAAGGTATGGTGCCACCATAACTGAGGAAAAATGCATTATGTGGCCAGCGTGAGCAAAGGAACTAAGGACTGGGCAGGAGGCTGAGTACAAGCTTTATGGAAAGGTTCACACTGGCCATATGGGCAATGACTGGAAAGAAATAACATAAATGGTCATTGTGCTCTGAGCTTGAAAGGATTTTGTTTCATTGGAGTTGCCAGGCATCCTGATTATTGTACCTAGATAACACAGTACTGCTTTCCTTGTAAGTGTGATGTATATAAGTGCCTTCTTTTGTCTATATGCATAATGTTCCTCACAAATGCACTTAACAACTCACATATTCTGTGACTAGTCTCTGAACATGCTACATGCATAACAAGCGTTCGCTTAGACATTGCACATAAGCTGTCCAGCAGATAAAGCACAATGCTTCAACAATCATGCAATAGTTTCACAAGAAATGACAACATGTAAGTGTCACACCAGAAGTGCAAAAGGTGTGGCAAGACATTGCGTGCAATGCCGCGGATGCTGGGTGTAAATCTTAATGATTCCAAACCTGGCGAAGCACATCATACCATTATAAAATGATGTTTAATTGATGAGAATTTACTTACCAGAGCTGTGCAACTAAGTAGGTGATGTCCTTTGGCTCCAGTACGTTAGTGAGTGGGGAGTCCCCTAAGGCTGGAAGTATGCACATATTTTAACCAAATGTCCATGCATGCTGCACTTCAAAAGTGCTGATCAAAATTGGTCATAACCTCGCAATCGCCAACAGGGTCAAACACCCATTGACTCCCAAAAACGCGTTAAATAATATTTCAGCATAGTACAAGCTTACAACATTTAGCTGATTGCTTATAGTTATTATCACGTATCATATGCGTCAGAGGTGTATCGTACCAAATCTTTTAGATAATGGCCGCTATTTTGGCTTTTATAAATAACGGCGCGTAATGCACTTTACACTTCTCGTACACTTCAAATTCGCCTCCTCTTTTGAATGTGAATAATTAATGACCGATGAATGATCCCCTTTGTGCCCACTACCGGTTGGCCTTTGGCCGGCCGCCCGGCCGGTGAAGCAGCAGCACGCTGCACCCGAGCAAGGGCGAAACAATGCATAGAGCAAACGCCCATCACCAATAGGACACCTGAATAGAAGGCCAGAATGGAAAAAGTGCTCCCGCAATGGTAGGTTAACCAGTAGTGCAGGTAAGGGGCACAGAAGCGTGTGCCCCCCCCCCCCCCAACCCCCCACCTCCCTGGTAACCCACGATTAAGGGCCCAATTTGAAGGCCCGAAGGGCTCGACAGGCCGACTGGAGGTCGTGTGCAGGGTCCCCGGTCCGCAGGGCCGGCACTCCAATGTCTCCAATGCCAGCCAGAGACCCCTGCGCCCTGATCAGGGGACCACTGTGTCTATAATGGCCTACTCTATATATCGGTAAGATATCACCAGTAATGCACAATCGGTTCAATGTTGACATGGGCCTGAGTTCCCATTTCCCAAGCAGGGACAAAGCCGGTCGCAGTGGTTTACATTGGTCGGGGCCCCAGCGTCTGTCAGGGCCATGTAAAGCCGGGGCCCCGAGTTGGCCAGAGACGGTGTTCAAGAGGGCCCGAAGAGCCTGTAGGGCCCGCCGGGTCCCACAATCAAGTGCCCGATTTAAGGGTCTGAGGGCAGGAAGGGCTGGTTGGAGTTTTATTCAGGAGCTCTGGTCTCTCGGCCCTTTTGGCACTCAAATTACAGTCAAGGGCTCTTTGCACCGATCGGAGACCCCCTGAGTTGATAAGAGAATACAAGTCCGTCAGGCACCACCGGTAACGCGTAGTCGTCTTCGTGTCGGCATGGGTTTGAAGGCCCACTTTCCAATCACCTAAAAAGGCGGGGTCAGCGATTTACGCTGATCAGGATCAGGATCAGGATCAGTATCTCTCAGGGGCCCACGGTTCCCAACAGGGGGTCCTGTGTTCGTAAGAGGCCCCGAACCGCCCAAGGGCAATGTTCGATGAGGCCCAAAGAGAGGCCCGGGTGGCCCACCAGAATTAACGATCAAGGGCTCGGTTGGAGGGCATTAGGGCCGGAAGGGATGGGTGTAGGTCACATACAGATTCACGGGCCTTAGGGTCGTGACGTGAAATATCCGCCAGAGGGCGTCTTGCGCCGTTTGAGCACCCCTGAGACAGAATGGATGTCTAAGTCGGCCAGACACCACCGACACCGAACAGTTGGTTCCCTGCCAGTCTGATCCCTGGCAGCACATTCCCAAACAGGAGCAAAGCAAGGGCCACGATTTGCATTTGTCTGGACCCCTGAAACAATGGTCGAGGCCGCTGTGTCAGTAATGGGTCCACAGGGGTCATGGGCCTAACAGGGGTCATGCATCAGTAAGTGGCTTTGAGTTGATCACGGACTTGGTTTAAAGAGGTCTGAAGAGGGATCGAAGGGTCTCTCGGGACCAAGAATCGAGGGCCCGATTGAAAGGCTGAACGGCCCGAAGAACTGGCCATCGTAGGTCACATAAAGGACGCCCCCAGCCCACCCGTCAGGCCGTCACCTCAAATGTCCGTCAGATGGCTTCTTGCAGTGATTGGGGAACCCTGGGACTGTGCGGGCCTTTCCTTCGGCCACAGACCACGAGCACCGAACAGTCGGCTACGTGTCGGTCTGTACTCTAGGAACCCATCTCCCAAGCATGAGCAAGGCCGGGCCCGCGATTCGCATTAGTCGGGGTCACTGAAACCTTGAGGGTGTCGGTCAGGGGCCCTCAGTGCCTAACAGGGGATTCTGTGTCGGTACGTGGCCCGAGTCCTCAGGGGCCCACAGTGCCTAGCAGGGGATTATGTGTCTGTACGTGGCCCGAGTCGTCAGGGGCCCACAGTGCCTAGCAGGGGATTCTGTGTTGGTATGTGGCCCGAGTCGTCAGGGGCTGTGTTTGGGTGGGTCCGAGCAAGGGTTCGAAGGGTTGCCTGGAGCCAAAGATCAAGGCCCTGATTAGACTCGGGCCCTGTCCCCCCACCCCACCTCCATACCATCCCCCACCCCACGCGTAGTGCTGTGGCCTGAAATGCCAGTCAGAGTGTCCCTATTAGGGCCGTCTTATCAGGGCTCTCTGTCCCTATTATATAGGGCCTCGACACGGAGCCTGAGGGAGATAGATTGTAAGACCCCTAACTTTTGACGAGCTCAATTGGCTCTTTCAAGGTTTGACCAATGTTTACTACGCGTTTATTCGAAAACTTAAAAGCTTTAATCTTAGTCTAGATGTATAACACGACTCTTGCTGGATCCCCGCATGGCCCCGGCTGGATCTTGGTCCTTGCAGTTCTCTTGACCCCACTAGACGAAATCTAAGGTCAAATTTTCCTGTCTTTTCAGCTTTGCGTGTTCATATGTACGAAACCATGCAGCGTAGAGACATTGAACATGAAGTAGGCATGCTACTTGTTTTATTATGGGTATAATGGTCTGTAGTTTTAGTTGTAATACCTATACCTATATAATAGTTGTTAGTTAGTTGTAATACCTATACCTATAACGTTGGGCTTCGTTAATGTAACAGTGCCAGCCCGCCGCGCGCGGTCCGCAAAATCGTCGCTTGCCGCCCAGCGCTCCTTCTGAGCTGGGACCGTCTCGCAATGCTCGTAAAAAAAACACCACTTCTACGAAACCAGATTGCGAGGGGCACGTTTCTGGTGTTCACGCACGCCCGATGGATGCCCCAAATACTACCAAAGATTTGAGCGACAATGCACAATATGCCGGACTGGTATCCTCGGAAATCCTTAGGGGGGAGGGAGGGCGCCTCACCGCCCCTCCCCCCCCCCCTTTCCCCTCCTGTCGGGGCGACTATGTTGTTCAGAAAGGACTAGCTGCCTGATGAAAGGCCATTAAGAAACTTCAAGACAATTCGCTTGTTGGGGAACGGCGAAAGCCGCCCACCAGGCAGCCTGTGTGTCGCGCCAGGCTTGGATCATGCCTAAGGTATGGTGGTTAGTTTGATAACGGTTGAGATGAGGCTCGAAGCGCCCACGTGGTTTTCACGAGGGAACATGGCCTCGAGGAGGCCTGTATCTTGGACGTCATCCCCAGTACTGCTTGCCACCGGCTCGAACTCTGCCATGCATTCCGCTGCCCTGGCTATCGGGGCCCTTTGTTGTCGTTTTTTTCGCGGTCGAGGGAAGCAAAGCCGGCCGTAGATCGGGTTTAAACGTAAGGGTCCGGCAAGTCCTGAGGGTGGAAGAAGACTGCTGCTGTGATTTGACTATTCCGTAGTCTAGGCAGGTGCGCCTGCTTTCCTAGCAGCAGCAGTTATCCTGACACTAGTTAAAGGACATTGTAAAATGGAGCGTTTTGGTTGTGTGTATGATATTGAACATTGTGGGGATGAAGGTCTTCGCTGATAAGCTTATTCCTGATGACGCCGCTAAGCATGAACTCTGTTATTATCTTATATGATATGACATCGATTTAGGCAGCTGGCGACAACTTTGCCACTATAAATTTGGTCGGCGACAAAAAGTACACTTTCGCCACCTCTGCAGAAAGCCCGCACCGCCTGACCTGTGTATGCACATCTACTGTTCATCTCACACTTTGCATTAACTTATTGGCTCCCGTAAGACTTATACTTTGTAAGTTCATTCCATTTCAAGTGTTAATCTTGCTTACCGCAGGTCAAAATACAATTGTAGTAGGGGCTGCAGCTCTCGTAGTGGCCATTTTTATGTATTATGTTTCAAAAGACGTGTCTCGTCTCTTCATGTAATGAAGTCAGAGAAGCATGTTGAATGTGCATGGTCTGACCTTTACACTGTCTCCTTGAGATTCAATACTTTGAGGAAAACAGTTTAAAAATTCACGAGATCCACTAGAAATCCTATACTTTTGGTGAGTTCAGGTAAATCGCATCTGAAATGCTTCAGAAATCCGTGATGCCAATCTGATGACATGGCCTTGATTCCATTGACCGCTTTGCAGCTTTTTTAAGATTTGACCCGAGCCTTTTGAATGCATGGATTTCTGGTGTCAGAGCTTACGCTAAGCAGTGCTTGTTGTGTGAGTTCCGACCCATGCAATCCGATCGCGCAGTCCCGGGCAACGGCAGAATTGGTGGCAAAAGTTGAACGTGCCGCAATGCTCGGCACGGTTCGTCCTGCCCTCTGACGTCAACTGACCTTTAGCGCGGCCGCTACCACCGCCCGCAGGCCATACCTGTCAAGGACAAAGCGCGAGCGCCTTAAACGACTCAAACCCACCCCGCCACAAGTGGGTGGATCAAAAGGCAGGCGCTCTAACCAACCGAGCCACCGGAAGGGACTTTTGGTTTACAAGTGTGCGTGTGAACTGCACTTGGAGTTATCTTGATTAATGAGCTCAAAATCTGAGCGACCCCCCCCCCCCCCTCAGCGTATTCCCTGGATTCGTCCCCGTCTCTGCATTCATCTTTTTCTGCAGCATTTGTACATTTGGTATCAAAGACATGACCCCAGTTTGTTAGCAGTGGTCATATTAACGCAAAGAGATTTTAGGAAGGAAACCAACACGGAAAGCATGGAAACCAACGTCGCCTCGTCGTCGTGGTTTTACCCTCTCCCCCTGCCACCTGTGTCGGTCTTTGGAAATGCAAAATCGCTAAGAAACGCGGAAGATGGTTATTTTTGCGATATCAAGCATTCTTGTCGGCCCGACACCACCATGTAATAGTGAGAAATGATTGGCCAAGGTTCGTTTATGCTATGATCACGAGCTGTCCTGATACGTGCTCTACACAGAAATCGTATGGGAGCAAGGCCTCATAATTAAGG